ATGCTGATCTAGTGAGATATACATGGCGGAGACTGAATCAAGCTAGTCGTCTTGACTTCTTTCTTATCTCATTCTCGTTGGCACCAAAAGTAAAAAAAGTGTTGATAGGGGACAGAATGCGGTCGGACCATCATATAATAGGCATATACATTACTCTGACTGAATTTCCACGTGGGCGAGGATATTGGAAATTTAATCAAAGCCTATTAGATGATAATTTATTTATAATTAGAACAAAGGAATTTATAACTGACTTTTTCCAACATAACTTAGGTACAGCGAATCCCCTTATTGTATGGGACACCTTTAAATGTGCCTTTAGAGGCCATGCAATTCAGTACTCATCTCGAAAACAAAAGCAATTTAGGTCAAAAGAGTTTATACTAAGAAAGGAAATAGAAAGTCTAACAGAACAGATAGATGGCAATAAAAACTGTAACATAGAGGCTCAGAATAAATTAGAGGAAAAACAAAAAGAAATGGAAAAACTTATTCAAGAAAGATCAAGTGTAATATATTATAAAAATAAAGCAAACTGGATGGAATATGGGGAAAAATGCACAAAATTCTTTTTTAATCTTCAACATAGGAATGCTACCAAAAAGAACTTAATGAAACTGGTTACAATTGACGGAGTCACCCATAATTCACCTAATGATATTTTGAAGGAAGAAACAAAGTATTTTAAGCATATGTTTTCTTTTCAGTCGCCTCCATCTCCTCTAACTGAAGCTAATTGTAGAGATTTTTTTCCTATTGATAATGTCAAATTAACAGCCACACAGAAAGACTCATGTGAAGGTGAAATTACAGAGGAGGAACTTCTGGATGCAATTAAAGACTTTAAGTCCGGGAAAACTCCAGGGTTGGATGGCATACCAATCGAGGTATACCAAACCTTTTTTGAAATACTAAGAGGACCGTTATTAGCATGTTTTAACCACTCCTATGTAAATGGTAGATTATCTGACACTCAAGAAGAAGGTCTGATCTCATTATTACTGAAACAGGATACAAGTGGAAAATATAAAGATCCAGTCCATTTACAAAATTGGAGGCCCCTTACACTTCAGTGTTGTGATGCAAAAATCCTAGCAAAATGTATAGCGCATAGAATTAAAAAGGTATTGTCGGATATTATTCATTCTAATCAGACAGGTTTTTTACATGGAAGATACATTGGAGACAATATAAGGCAAGTATTGGAAACAATAGAACACTATGGAAAATATGGGAAACCAGGCCTGCTATTCATAGCAGACTTCGAAAAGGCATTTGATAAAGTTCGACTGGAATTCATATATAAATGCCTGGAGCATTTCAATTTTGGAGAATCTCTTATAAAATGGGTCAAAATCATGTATAGTAACCCTAGGTGTAAAATAGTAAATAATGGCTATTTCTCAGAAAGTTTCAAACTGTCAAGAGGAGTGAAACAAGGTTGTCCACTATCGGCATATCTATTTATTGTGGCCATCGAGATGTTAGCTATTAAAATCAGATCCAATAATAATATCAGAGGATTAGAAATACAGGGCTTAAAAACAAAGGTGTCATTGTACGCAGATGATTCATGTTTTCTTTTAGATCCACAACTAGAATCCCTCCACAGCCTCATAGAGGATCTAGATACATTTTCTAACCTCTCTGGATTAAAACCAAATTATGACAAATGTACTATATTACGTATTGGATCACTAAAAAATACAATTTTTACATTACCATGTAGTTTACCAATAAAATGGTCTGATGGTGATGTGGATATACTCGGAATACATATCCCAAAGGAAATAAATGATCTCACTTCAATAAATTTTAATAGAAAGTTAGCAAAAATAGATAAGATCTTACTACCATGGAAAGGAAAATACCTGTCAATTTGTGGAAAAATCACCCTGATTAACTCTTTAGTATTATCCCAGTTTACCTATTTGCTTATGGTCTTGCCTACGCCTAGCAAACAGTTTTTTAAAATATATGAGAAAAAAATATTCAATTTTATTTGGAACGGCAAGCCAGACAAAATTAAAAGAGCATATTTATATAATGAATATGAATTCGGAGGACAGAAATTATTAAATATTAAAGCATTAGACCTATCACTAAAATCTTCAGTCATCCAAAAGTTATACTTAAATCCGAACTGGTTCTCAAGCAAATTAGTAAGATTGTCTCACCCACTGTTCAAGAAAGGCCTTTTTCCCTTTATTCAGATTACAACCTCTCACTTTCAGTTATTTGAAAAGGAAATAATCTCCCAAATGTCACTATTTCTAAAACAAGCCATAGAAAGTTGGTTACAATTTCAATTTAATCCTCCAGAAACGACAGAACAAATAATGCAACAAATATTGTGGTTAAATTCAAATATACTAATTGACAAAAAACCTATATTTATTGACAGAATGTTTAAAAAAGGTATAATCTTCGTAAATGATATCATCGGTAGGACTGGTGGAGTTATGTCGCACATGCAGCTAATAAAAACATATGGAAATGTCTGCTCTACCCAAAATTACAACCAAATAATTGCAGCCATACCGCAAAAGTGGAAGAGGAAAGTTGAAGGGGGAGAAAGTAAGGAACTTGTCTGTCGGCCTTGCATTAAAGAACATAATTGGTTAAGGAAAACTGTGATAAATAAAAAAGTATATCAGTTTCACTTAAGGACCAAAGGATTGACAGCAGTCCCATATAGATTGCAAAATAGTTGGGAAGAGATCTTTGACGTACCGATCCCATGGCATAGTGTTTATGAACTGACACGCAAAACGACACCGGATTCAAAAATTAGAATCTTTCAATTTAAATTATTATATAAAATTCTTGCTACCAATAGAATGTTATTTATATGGGGGATACAATCTTCCCAGCTCTGCAGATTTTGCTGTGAAGAGATAGAATCATTAGATCATTTGTTTTGGTTCTGTCCATTTGTAGCTTGTTTTTGGACACAGGTCCAGGAATGGCTAAAGGATTGCAATATTTACCTGGAACTAACCTTGCAGATAGCATTACTGGGTGATCTGAAAAGTCATAGTCAATCAATCAATAATATAATAATACTTTTAGCAAAAATGTTTATTTTTAATTCACAATCTGTAGAAGCAATGAGAATAGAAAGGTTCAGAACTTTTGTAAAACATCACAGTATGGTTGAAATATATATGGCAAATAGAAATCCTATATGGATGGTGTTAAGAGATAGATGGGAGGTATTGAATAGAGTTGAAGGATGGGACTAATAACAAATAACAACAAATAATAACAAAGATAGCTAATAATGTAAGCATACTGTGTCCATAATAAGTATATAGGTTGTATGTTGGGAGCTTTTGGGAAGGAGCACAGTTAGAAAGATATGGCATTTAGAGGCAAACCGGATGGACATCATGAAGATGATCGGAGAGGTTGAGAGTAGAAGAAGTTCAGGAGAAAAAAAATAAATAGATGTGTATATGTATATGTATGTATATATGTGTATATATATATATGTATATGTGTGTGTGTGTGTGTATGTATATGTATATGTGTATATATATATATATATATATATATATATATATATATATATATATATATATATATATATATAGATATAGATATAGATATAGAATTATTGTAAAATTAACTCTGTCCATAAGGTGTAGATAGTGAGTATGGACCGGAAGTAGAGGCCTGGGCGTTGTTGTTCACTAATTTACTCCAAGTAGGGAAAGGATGGTGGGGTTGAAAAGTAATAAAGGGGAATATATATATATATATATATAATATATATATAAAAAAAAAAATATGGGGGATTGGAAGTGATGCAGACAATTACATTGATAGAAGATACAATCTATCTGCAATATTAAGCTGATCCTTCCCCCCCCAAAAAAATAAAAAAAATAAAAATAAAATACAAAAAATAAAGGGGGTGAATACATATGCACGCACCACTTTTCCGTTATTTATTTTTTAGACTTTTTTTAAAAAGTAATTTTTTTCATTCCACCTCACCAATTTCGACTATTTTGTGTATGTCCATTTAATCCAAATAAAAATCAATTTAAATTACATGTTGTAATGCAACAAAATAGGATAAACGCGAAGGGGGATGAATACTTTTGCAAGGCACTGTAATTGTTTTGATTATTTCTAGCAAATCAACACTACCTGTCCGGTGCCTAACAATTTGCTCGTGAAAGATCCTTCATGGTTAATCAGAGAGGAGTGGAAATGGTTGTCAACCTTTAAATAGGCTAACGGCGAATGTCTGATATAAAACCTACTTTACCTCGGTGTGTTGCCTTAATAGCTGTGACGCTTGCGGTACGGCTTTGGAAGCGTAAGGACCTTATCTTTCATATCAGCGAGAAATACGGTTAAACGTTTTTTTAACGGTTAAATTGATACACACCTTTTTATAGGGTTAGAGTACCCACACAGCCATATTTCCATGTTACAGCGCTTGTTTACGGAAAACAGACGGAAGACAGAGTGGACTACCTGTGCTAATTAGCTATCTGCGTCTCCGCACACCTGTATCTAAACAGAAGACGGACGCCACAAACATGTTGTCACTGAAAAATACTGTCGGCTGCAACTGTGTTAAAACGGTGTACAGTAAGTGTGTATTTTGCGTTTGTGAAATTATTTTGATGTGATTTGAAAGTAGAGGGATTTATGCTTCTAGAACTTTACCGCAATTGACAATCACGTTTAGATGGAGTATATGGCTGTTTTGGCTTCCAGAGCCAATTCGCCCTTTTAAACAGGACATGTAAGGTCCTTGGACTAAGGAGTAACATTAGGCTCCTTTAGTCCAATATTGGGCTATGACTGATGGTGACTCACTGTTGTTACTAGCAAATCGTGTGACCAGTTATCAATACTCAACTCTGCCTCAGTATAAGAAAATGGCGTTGAGCATTCCTCAGCTACACTAAACCTAGTAAGTAATAAAGTCAGAAGCACCTTATCCACATTTTTCTTTTTCTTTTCTCATTTTGATGTATATCAGACCACCTTCTCCTAGCATGATCAACCTCTGCCCAGTTCCCCGGGCCCCACTCCTTGCCACCAACCCCATGCTGCAAGGGGCACTGCTCATGCAACAACCGATGCGAGGTAAGTCTCGGTCTTCTCTTCTCTCACAGGAAGGTGGTTGATGTATTAGTAGCATATAGAAGCATCATAATGCTGTGGAGATGTTATAGGGATATGAAATTATCCTCCAAGTACATACAATGTCTTCCTCCTCTATCTGTAGGTAACATGCGAGGCTTGGCCATGGGTAGTGGCCTACCCTTTACTTCATTTTTGGCTGAGGGGGCAAGGCAATCTCTCCTTGGACCAGCTCCTATCCCCCAAGTGGGATTGTCCTCATCAGGACCCTATCATTCCCATGCACACATTTTAAACAAGGTTAATCTCTTCTTCTACCATTCTGACTCTGAGACCCTTTCTGGGCAGGACTGCTACAGTATAGGGTACATCTACAGTACCATTCTCTTCTTTACTTAAATGAACATGGAGCAACTGCACATCCTAAAATGAATTGTCAGTGTGAACTATTGAATAATGATTTAATGATGTGTGTTGTGTTTGTGTCCAAACAGGACATTTGTGTTAGGAAGAGGGAAAATGAACGGACTGGAAGTGCTGGTGGCCAGCTGAGCTCCAGCAGTGCAGAGGGGCCCGGGGAGAGGGGTGATAGGACTACCAATACAGGTGAGTCCCATGGTCTTATCTCACCTATACACCTGACTCTGGTGTGGGTTTCCAGAAATCCTCTTAGCTAACCTGGCACCTTATTTCTGTTGACACCCCAGCCACACAGCCACGAGAAAGTAACAATAAAAATCCATGTTTGACGGTCTATCTTCTGTGTGTGAACAAAGAAAATGCTGGTCTGGGTCGTCAAAATAAATAAAGTACCGCATTAGCTACTGTTATCTTCACAACTAAATTGAATACAGAAGTACTTGTGTCATGAAGAAAGATAGCACTTGATTTAAAGTGTCTTGATATGCCCGTTTCAATTTGTGCTGATCTGGGTATGTGTTATCCTTGTTTTACAGAGATGGAGGATACGGAATCAGATGGACAATTATTTGCAAAGCAACAGGAGGAGCCTGAGATGAAGAAGCCGAAGATGAATGGGTAAGTATCTAACTGGAGTTGTTCAGTAGGGCTTACCGCAGAACAATGTTTTGCAATGGAAAACAAAAGTCTGTATTATTGGACATGTTCAAGTTCAGACCTCCATGTTTTCACTCTGTTGTCTACCTACTAAACACAACCCAGTTATTCTGCCCACCACCACAGCTATGTTGAATTTAAATCTGTTTTTGTTATTTATTTTATTTATTATTAATATTTTTATTTTCTGGACCGATCTTATTCACAGGTCAGAAGAGCCTGTGAATATAACAATTGGACAAGAGCCAGTCCCGAAGTCTGATAATAGAATGCCAACAGATGTATCGAAGCCTGTAGGTCTGTGTTTTGAGGATTTCGTGGCACTCTTGATTCTGCCACATTGCTGTTGTAATGAAATAGGAATCAAATCAATGGTATAGATATTTGCAGCTGACATACCAGGAGACATGAAATAGGTCACCAGGGGTGTATTCATTAGTGCACACTGTAGCCAAACTCTTTGCAACGGAAAACATTTCGCAATGAAAACGAGCGTTTGTCATTGGACAAGTTCAGCATAGTCCCTTTGCATTTCGGCTGTTTGCTTCCGTTTGATTTCTAGTGAATACAGCGCTGCTTACAGCTAAGCCATTGCCCTTATACATTTTTTATTTTATTTTATCTATCCCGCAGGTCCAGCTTTTGTTTTAATTCATCCATTGTGGTTTTAGCGCAGAATATATTTTGCTTTTCGATAGATATCTCTGCTGTCGAGTACAGAGGAGGAAGCACTTCCATTCAAGTGGCGGAGGAATGTTGCGAAGAAAGTATAACAGCAGAAGTACGTGGGCACTAAAGGAATTTAAGGATTTAATTGAATTTCCTAATCCTGATGTTGTTAATTTAAAAAAAATTCCATCTGCGAGTGTTGTCTGTGCTGACTAGATGCTGGCCTGTGTGTTGGGCTGCAGCATGTTCTGGGGGTAGGCACGTCCCTGAAAGTCACCATCCAGCAGAGCAGCGAGAGCCGGGCGTTCAGCACAGGCCTAGAGGAGTTGGCTGCAGCCACGGGGACCCCCTGTGGTGTAGGGGGACAGGGTGAGGACAGTGACAGGGGAGCTGCGTCTGACAGCCACTACTGCTACATCTGCAGCCTCCCCTACCACAACCAGCAGGTGAGGACAAAGCCACACGCTTCAAGCTAGCACAAGTACTATAAAACCGTACAGCTGCTTGGGGAATGGACTGTCAATATCATGCTTGTTGGTTCCTTTGAACCTAGGCAAGCAGAATGTTAGGCTATTTCTCACTTTGAGAAGTGATGCACCTGTGTACATCCAACTATAGAATTGAAATAATACTAGTTTTTTGCAGCGTCACACAATATAATATTGTATATATATACACACACACACACACACACTACCAGTCAAAAGTTTGGACACATCTACTCATTCCAGGGTTTTTCTTTATTTTTACTATTTTCTACATTTGTAGAATAATAGTGAAGACATTAAAACTATGAAATAACACATATGGAATCATGTAGTAACCAAAAAGTGTTAAATAAATCAAAATATATTTTATATTTGAGATTCTTCAAATAGCCACACTTTGTCTTGATGAAAGCTTTGCACACTCTTGGCATTCTCTCAACCAGCTTCATGATGTAGTCACCTGGAATGCATTTCAATTAACAGGTGTGCCTTCTTAAAAGTTAATTTGTGGAATTTCTTTAATGCGTTTGAGCCAATCAGTTGTGTTTTGACAAGGTAGAGGGGGTAAACAGAAGATAGCCTTCTTTGGTAAATAAGCAAAGAACAGCTCAAATAAGCAAAGAGAAGCGACAGTCCATCATTACTTTAAGACATGAAGGTCAGTCAATATGGAACGTTTTCAAGAACTTTGAAAGTTTCTTCAAGTGCAGTTGCAAATACCATCAAGCGCTATGATGAAACTGGCTCTCATGAGGACCACCACAGGAATGGAAGACCCAGAGTTACCTCTGCTGCAGAGGATAAGTTCATTGGTGTTACCAGCCTCAGAAATTGCAGCCCAAATAAATGCTTCACAGAGTTCAAGTCACAGACACATCTCAATATACACTGTTCAGAGGGGACTGTGTGAATCAGGCCTTTATGGTCGAATTGCTGCAAAGAAAACACCAATAAAGGACACCGATAAGAAGAAGAGACCTGCTTGGGCCAAGAAACACCTCACAAACACATGGACATTAGACCGGTGGAAATGTGTCCTTTGGTCTGGAGTCCAAATTGGAGATTTTTGGTTCCAACCGCTGTGTCTTTGTGAGATGCGGTGTGGGTGAATGGATGATCTCCGCATGTGTATTTCCCACTGTAAAGCATGGAGGAGGTGTTATGGTGTGGGGGTGCTTTGCTGGTGGCACTGTCTGTAATATATTTAGAATTCAAGGCACACTTAACCAGCAAGGCTACCATAGCATTCTACAGCGATATGCCTTCCCATCTGGTTTGGGCTTAGTGGGACTATCATTTGTTTTTCAACAGGACAATGACCCAAAACACACCTCCAGGCTGTGTAAGGGCTATTTTACCAAGACGGAGAGTGATGGAGTGCTGCATCAGATGACCTGGCCTCCACAATCCCAAGACCTCAACCCAATTTGAGATGGTTTGGGATGAGTCGGACCGCAGAGTGAAGGAAAAGCAGCCAACAAGTGCTCAGCATATGTGGGAACTCCTTCAAGACTGTTGAAAAAGCATTCCAGGTGAAGCTGGTTGAGAGAATGCCAAGAGTGTGCAAAGCTGTCATCAAGGGAAAGTGTGGCTATTTGAAGAATCTCAAATATAACATATATTTTGATTTGTTTAACACTTTCTTGGTTACTACATGATTCCATGTGTTATTTCATAGTTTTGATGTCTTTACTATTATTCTACAATGTAAAAAATATAGAAAAACCCTTGAATGAGTAGGTTTGTCTTAACTTTTGACTGGTAGTGTGCATTCGGAAAGTATTCAGACCCCTTCCCTTTTTCCACATTTTGTTATGTTAGAGCCTTATTCTAAAATGGATTAAATAAAAACATTTCCTCATCAATCTACACACAATACCCCATAAAGCGAAAACAGGTTTTTAGAAATGTTTGCAAATTCATTTTTGATTTAGTTTTAGTCTTAATACCTTTTAATCTTAGTCACATTTTAGTAATTTCATCCTTCGTTAGTTTTAGTTATCATTCGACTAAAACTCTGGACAATTATAGCCAAGTTTTAGTCACAGCCATTTTAGTCACATAAGTCAGTGCATTTTTTAAATTTTAAATACTGAATATTCAGGCTACCTCTAACTTCCATCATGTGCACATTCAGATATCCTTGTCCAACTAGGTCTACTATCCCCTCGTATAGCTTAGCAGGTAACATTGATATTGTAACAGATTGTAACCAAAGCCAGCCATAATTAACCCTATAGGCTATAAAGCATTGGCTACAGGTTAAACAATTTACAGCTCTGATTTTTCTCCCCATCATGACCATCAAGGGGGTGCATAAGTGGTTTCCTCGAAAACTGGAGAATTTGAGCTTTACAAAAATGCTAGAAGTATTACTATACTCCTAATATTCAACAAATCCTTATAGGAAAGAAGCGACCGCAACTCGCATTTGCAGACAGCGGCGCAAGAGTGGCAACAGCGATTTAATGAATGAAAATAGAGCTTCAGATGTGATCAAATCAAAAATAGCCTACATGAAAGTGAGAGTAAACATTGTTTCTAGTAAAGGTTAGTTATAAGTCAAGTGTCCAGTCTTTGCGTCAGTTAAAGAAATTGACGAGTGACTGAAGTGACCGCCTGGGAGCTGTGTGGGAGAGCCGGGCATATCAGCTCAATCAGACCGCTCAACTAAAAGATGTCAATTCTGCCAATGAGAGGAGAGCATTTAAATATTCTGCATGCATGCTTAGGATTGGACAAAACAGATGAAAAGGAGCACCATGTCTCACGTGGAATTCTCGTCTCTTTCACATTTTCGTTGACTAAAATTGACTAGTTTTTTTTTCCAGGGTGTCTCGTTATAGTTATAGTTTTAGTCAGGACAAAGGTCGTTGATTAGTATTTTTCGTCGTAGTTATTGTTGACAAAATGAATACTGTATGTAAGTGTAGATGATGTTAAACATGACCAGGTTGATAGATGTTCTTGCTGTCAAATGAATGGTCTTTCCACCCATCAAATTAATTTACTCTGTCTGCCTCTCGCTTGCAGAATTTCCAGAGCCATATGAACGGAGTGGAACATCAACAATGTATGATGGAGATTCAGCAAGTGAGCAATGCCTGTCTGGTCAATCTATTACCGCTGGTGGGCAACTCCCTACAGGGCACACACAAAGCCGGGTAAGGGGCAACCTCTATTACCATATTACTTACTACGCTTCTCTATCATCACAATACTCTGTCAGTGGTGGTGGGACTGAGACATGGGGGCTGGCAGTAGCCAGGCACCCTGGAAAACGCAACAGGGCGGATTTCAAATTCTGTTTGGCTACATTCCAGGGGCAAAAAAACAGGAGGGGTGCGGCGCTGGTGTGCAACCTGCCAAACACACTTTACCGGCGACCTCATCGAGCACCGGAGGACCAAGGAGCACAAGGTAAAAGTGACATCAGAGAGAAGCGCTAAGGTTGGGGAGAGTAAAAAGGCCAAATGGGCTTTGTGGAGAACGGAAGCGGGTAGAGCCATAACATAAACCTTTTCCTCCCTCTGGTTTCTCAGCTGTCAAAGCAGTCCTCACGTCCCTTCTGCACCGTCTGCAAACGCCACTTCAGGACACCACGGAAGTTTGTGGAGCACATGAAGTCCCGAGAACACAAGCGGCAGGTGGCAGAGGTGTGTGTGTGCATGTGAATGAACAACAGTAGTGCATAATAATGTGTGTTTATGGAATGGCACATATTGTAAAATTTCTAATTTGTCATCCATGGACCTTTCATTTTTGGTTTGGGGCATTTGTCCTTGTTTATGACTTGACTAGTCTCGCTTGGCTACTTACCACTTCAGGGGCAAATCCTAACTGCCACTTTAGTCAAATTTTCAATGCATTACTAAGTGAAAATTAGACAGAAGGTGGGATTTGCCCCTTAAGTGACCAATGCACCGTTCATGAAGCACAATGTCCAGCAGAGGGCACTGTTTAGCTCAGTGTTGATTCCCCCCATGTCCTCCTTTTGAGCCCAGCTCCGGGAGGAGGGAGAGCCAGAGGTCCTTGAGGAACTCATCACTGTGGATGCAGTGGGATGTTTCGAGGGAGAAGATGACTTTGAGGAGGAGACCCAAGAGGATGAGGATAGCAGGGTATTATTTGACTAAATTTCCCAAGCAACATTCCTGCCATGCGTCATGTTTAATTTCTCACTCTGTTTTTGCAGGGAGCGCAGCCTGGTCAAAGAGCGGTCCCGCTAGAGCAAGCGGGGGACTACGAAGCGTTTGATTCCGAAACACAATACGGTGATTATGCTGTTGCTATGATGACGCACCCAGTCACTTAGAAAGGATTGATAAAAACGAAACTGGAGGATAGAAAGTGAGAAGAAGCATGGTTATTTATTTCCCACCGCATTTATATCTCTCCATTTATTTTCTCCAGGCTCAAGCTTTGTTGTACCAGTGGCTGGTTTTCTCTGCAGACTGTGCCATAAGTTCTTCTATTTCGAGTCCACGGCCAGGCACATTCACTGCAAGTCCCTCATGCACTTCCAGAACTTACAGGTATGTGCCATAGACCCAATCGCATTCATACTTCAATCAATCAAATTGTATTTATAAAGCCCTTTTTACATCAGCAGATGTCACAAAGTGCTATACAGAAACCCAGTCTAAAACCCCAAACAGCAAGCAATGCAGATGTAGAAGCACGGTGGCTAGGAAAAACTCCCTAGAAAGGCAGAAACCTAGGAAGAAACCTAGAGAGGGGTGGCCAGTCCCCTTCTGGCTGTGCCGGGTGGCGCAGTGGTCTAAGGCACTGCATTGCAGTGCTAGCTGTGCCACTAGAGATCCTGGTTTGAATCCAGGCTCTGTCGTAGCCGGCCGCGACCGGGAGACCCATGGGGCGGCGCACAATTGGCCCAGCATCGTCCAGGGTAGGGGAGGGAATGGCCGGCAGGGATGTAGCTCAGTTGGTAGAGCATGGTGTTTGCAACGCCAGGGTTGTGGGTTCGTTTCCCACGGGGGCCAGTATGAAAAAATTATGTATGCACTCACTATAACTGTGTCGCTCTGGATAAGAGCGTCTGCTAAAATGACTAAAAATGAGATTATAATAGTACATGGCCATTAAGGCCAGATACTTAGTGTCTTGTTGTCAAACTGCAGCAATTACACATACCTCCTCCACAAAGTGCTTGCTCTCTTTTCATTCCTCACATCTGCCTCTTATGTCTCTGTATTAGAAGTACAAAGCCTTGAAGAATCAAAAGAGCTCCGCTGCGGAGGACACCGCGAAGACAAGGACATGCAGCCGAACAGTGGGGGACTCCCCTGACCTGAGAGACAGTAGAGATAACAAGGAGGTTATCCAAGTGGAAAATGACTGCAACATGGCTAGGGACAACACACATCCCTGTGGTACCTCCTCTACCACGATCGAGATGCATCCTGTTGTCTCTACTCAGGACGAGGCAGAGCAGGACAATATCTCCACTGCCACTCCGCAGGTCTCAGAACAGCTGGACTCAGACTCCGTATTGCCAAATACCGCAGTCGCTGTCTATAGGCCGTGCGGCTGTGCCACCCAGCCTCCTTCTGGCTCAAGCTCTGGATTGGAGAACATGGTGAAGCCGCCTCCATGCCAAAGGTCCCAACCGAGCCTCCAGGAGTATGGGCATGATGTGACTGGAGAAAAAAGCTCCTGCAGAGGTGGATGTGCTCTTGCTTTGCCTGCAGGGCAGCAGAACACAAACATGAGCATGCCTCAAACTGCAAGCGAGCCACCACGAGGCAGCCTCTTGGAAAGAGAGCATCTGCAGCAGGAGAGCGCCACACTGTTGATGCCACATATACTCAAACTGGACGAGGACAGAGAACTAGTCAACAGAGAGGAAATTGGAACTAGAGGAGTCAGCTGGGATGGGGCCAGGAAAATTAAGGAGCACGTCGAAAAGAATGGTGTCCAAAACTAAATCTACAAGGACAACTCACACAAAAACCTGAGAGAGGAGGGTCGTGTGCACAACCCAGGAATGTAGCACAAACTAAGCCTCACAAGTCGTTAATGATGATTGATGGGATATCTACACCATGGGTGTGTGAGTGATTGAAAGAGTCACCCAAGATAAGATTTCACAGACATCCTGTTTGGTTACAGTAAAGTAGGCCTAGTTTAGTTTGAATGGAATCACCAGTTTGTGTTAATAAAATAGTACGTGATACCATTCACAGTATTGCAAGGGATCTCCAATCACAGTGAGTGAGGTCATATTATGTTAATGTTGTTTTCTTTAAAGAAAGTGCCTTTGGATCATGAGCTCAATCAAGTCTACCTAATATATTGTCTATTTCCTCCCTTTTGAGCTCTGAACTAATCACAGTCACACCATGCAATCCCATTCAGGTCAAAACAATTTGCTTTTGATCATTACAGGGTCAATCTGTCTACAATATTTACAGCTGTTCAAGGGTTATTTCAATTGATGATTTACACCCATTCATTCTTGAAGAATGTAATTTATAAATGCCTTATGAGCTTAGTACAACTATCTTAACACAAAATATATATGGTGGTTGTTTTACTCCATGGTTTGTACTTTATAAACAATTAGCTTCCAAATAAGTTTAAACTGTAATTTTGATCTAGTCCTTCCTTGCATCCATAGCTCCATCTATGAATTTGAGTGCTTATATTTGGCTGGAAAAGGTATCAAGGATTGTGCCTTGAATGCATTGTTTGTAAAAAAATAAATAAAGGTTAGGTTTCTGAATATCTTTTTCCATATCTTAAAAAAAAAAAAGTTAATCATATACAGTGGCGGCCAAATATATTGAAAAATATACCTTGCACACCTTGCACTTTTCTTAAATAATTCCCTACTTCTAAAATAAGTTGAAATTGAAAAAATAAATTGGTATCCACATGTTGTTATAGGATTGTTAAACATTGCAGAACCAATTTCTTTGTGAGGAAATCTAAGTTTACAATTTTAATTAAGAAAAAAAAAACATGGCATGGACCGCACAGCATTATCCAATCTCACCCATGTTTGATTGTAGGGAGGTTGTTATTTTCTTGCAATGTTTCAGTTAGTCGTTGGTAAACATAGGAAGACCCAACTGCTGAATGAGCACCATTTGAACCCAACCTAAAAAAGCCTAAATCCTGGGGAAATGTTCTGTGGACAAATTAAACAAAATTACAGCGCTTTGACAATACAGATCAGCACTATGTTTATTGATGACCAAATGAAGCATTCTAATAAAATAACACCCTACAATCAAACATGGGGAGGTTTGATAATGCTGTGCCATTGCTTTGCTGCCTCTGGTACTGGGGGCCTTGAACTTAAGTTTCCCCCCCAAAAAATGTGTTCTGTAATGTTGACAATCCGATGACATCGTGTGGAGACCAAACCATTTTTTCAATTTCAACTTATTTTAGAAGAAATAGGGAATTATTTAAGAAAAGTGCAAGGGTGCCAATATATTTGGCCACCACAGTATCATGTCTTTACTTTTTCTGCATTGCCTCTGTTTCAAACTGAAATGGAAGTAATTTATAATGATATTCAAATGCATTGTTTTCTATAGGCCACTGTTTCAGTAATTTGGATTATCTTCTAGATCTTCTGGATTATCTTCTAGTTTCAGGAAACTAGGCATATGTCGTGCATCACTACTTCACACTTAAATGTAAACTTTTATTTTTTATCAAAATGTTATTTTTTTTGCAGAAATGCCTTCTGGAACATGTGAACTTTAATGTGCCTTAATAACAAAAAAGTGTAATTAAATTGTTGCCAGCAGCACAGTTGCAGTCACTAACGCTCTGGATAACATAAAAACAGCCTAACCAGCTCTGCATTTATCTGGAAGTAGCTAGCCAACGTTAGCCAGTTACAGTGAGGGGAAAAAAGTATTTGATCCCCTGCTGATTTTGTACGTTTGCCCACTGACAAAGAAATGATCAGTCTATAATTTTAATGGTAGGTTTATTTGAACAGTGAGAGAGAATGACAACAACAAAATCCAGAAAAACGCATGTCAAAAATGTTATAAATTGATTTGCATTTTAATGAGAGAAATAAGTATTTGACCCCCTCTCAATCAGAAAGATTTCTGACTCCCAGGTCTCTTTTATACAGGTAACGAGCTGAGATTAGGAGCACACTCTTAAAGGGAGTGCTCCTAATCTCAGTTTGTTAACTGTATAAAAGACACCTGTCCAAAGAAGCAATCAATCAATCAGATTCCAAACTCTCCACCATGGCCAAGACCAAAGAGCTCTCCAAGGATGTCAGGGACAAAATTGTAGGCCTACACAAGGCTGGAATGGGCTACAAGACCATCGCCAAGTAGCTTGGTGAGAAGGTGACAATATTTGGTGCGATTATTCGCAAATGGAAGAAACACAAAATAACTTTCAATCTCCCTCTGCCTGGGGCTCCATGCAAGATCTCACCTCGTGGAATTGCAATGATCATGAGAATGGTGAGGAATCAGCCCAGAACTACACGGGAGGATCTTGTCAATGATCTCAAGGCAGCTGGGACCATAGTCACCAAGAAAACAATTGGTAACACACTACGCCGTGAAGGACTGAAATCCTACAGCACCCGCAAGGTCCCCCTGCTCAAGAAAGCACATATACAGGGCCGTCTGAAGTTTGCCAATGAACATCTGAATGATTCAGAGGAGAACTGGGTGAAAGTGTTGTGGTCAGATGAGACCAAAATCGAGCTCTTTGGCATCAACTCAATTCGCCGTGTTTGGAGGAGGAGGAATGCTGCCTATGACCCCAAGAACACCATCCCCACCGTCAAACATGGAGGTGGAAACATTATGCTTTGGGGGTGTTTTCCTGCTAAGGGGACAGGACAACTTCACCGCATCAAAGGGACAATGGACGGGGCCATGTACCGTCAAATCTTGGGTGAGAACCTCCTTCCCTCAGCCAGGGCATTGAAAATGGGTCGTGGATGGGGATTCCAGCATGACAATGACCCAAAACACACGGCCAAGGCAACAAAGAAGTGGCTCAAGAAGAAGCACATTAAGGTCCTGGAGTGGCCTAGCCAGTCTCCAGACCTTAATCCCATAGAAAATCTGTGGAGGGAGGTGAAGGTTCGAGTTGCCAAACGTCAGCCTCGAAACCTTAATGACTTGGAGAAGATCTGCAAAGACAAGTGGGACAAAATCCCTCCTGAGATGTGTGCAAACCTGGTGGCCAACTACAAGAAACGTCTGACCTCTGTGATTGCCAACAAGGGTTTTGCCACCAAGTACTAAGTCATGTTTTGCAGAGGGGTGAAATACATTTTTCCCTCATTAAAATACAAATCAATTTATAACATTTTTGACGTGTTTTTCTGGATTTTTTTGTTGTTATTCTGTCTCTCACTGTTCAAATAAACCTACCATTAAAATGATAGACTGATCATGTCTTTGTCAGTGGGCAAACGTACAAAATCAGCAGGGGATCAAATACTTTTTTCCCTCACTGTAGCTTGGTGCTGCTGTTCGGTCAGAACGCTCAGATCAACCCTACTCGGCCAGAGCGTCCAGTGAAAGCTCCGAGAGCGAAACGCTCTGAATTTACCAACGGACAATCTGACAACGCCCTGAGTTTACGAATGCCCCGAGCACTCACTGGCACTCCAGATTAAATTTACGAACACACCCGTAGTATTAACCAGCCTTTAGTCTTGAAATCTTTGGTTGTTTAGTACATAGCCTCACGTGCATCCTTAAAGAGATTGGTGGGTTTAAGCTTCTGAGGGTGTGAACAATGCTGAATAGGTGCAGACAAAGAAGAGCTCTCCAGTTTTTTCTCAAAAGTGAGGTTACAAGATTAACTTTCAAAGCAGAATTACTTTCCAATTGTTCCTCAACTGTAGTGTATGATATACAATTTTCTAACTGAGTCTACTTTTATCCAATGTAAAAAAACATCATTTCAAATTTTCCAACATAAGATCGAGCTGGTTGGTGACATATGGGCCATACTTGTTTCCCTCTATTCTTTATTCTAGGATTTGCAGTTCACTTTAGCCTATGCTTTGAGGTGATCAACATTATTCAGGCTGGTTTGAGAGCGGGTGGTTTAAGTTATTTAAGCTAGGTAATTAACTAAATGTATCTGATGCATGCATTTAATCTTGTGACTTGCATTGCCATGCTACTGGAGGACACACTTTGGCAAATCAGTATAGATTCCTTTCTGTGTTTGCAAACATTGCCGCACGAGGGCGATGCACGCAAGTAGGTGGCAGAACAAGGGGGAGTTCTTATAGAACGCCAGTAAAAAAAAGCCTGTATTTACATTTTGCTTATGAGTGCATTTCACACTACCTTTGGATTACAATTGGATTTTAAGTATTGTATGAATGTCCTGCTTAATATAATGTTTGTGTCATCATAGTGAATCAACTGCATTATACTTAAACACTTTGCAGTATTTTTTTTTCATTTTTTCATTTTCTTACATTATTAGCCCAGAACGTTTTTTGTGTTATACAGCTGGAAATAACTTTTGGATATCAGAGCGGTGGTAACTCACCAGCATTACGACCAGGAATACATCTTTCCTGAATTGGATCCTTTGTTCGTACCCCCAAGGGCAATTGAACTTATCCCAGAGGCTGCTCCAAGACACCGCCGGCGGAGAAGAGTTATTCGGAGTGGACTTCTAGTCCGACTCAGGAGGCGTGCACACCATCCACTGCTTCCGAGTATATTACGCGCGAATGGTCAGTCTCTGGACAATAAAGTAGATGAGCTCAAGGTGAGGATCTCCTTCCAGAGAGACATCAGGGACTGTAACATACTCTGTTTCATGGAATCATGGCTGTCTCGGGATATACTGTCCCCGGCCATACAGTCAGCTGGGTTCTCAATACATCGCACAGACAGGAATAAAGAACTCTCAGAGAATGGCAGTGGTGTATGTTTCATGATTAACTACTCATGGTGTGATTGTGATAACTTACAGAAACTCAAGTCCTTTTGTTCACCCGACCTAGAATACCTCACAATCAAATGCCGACCGTATTACCTCCCAAGAGAATTATCTTCGATTATAGTCATAGCCGTGTATATTCCCTCTCAAGCCGATACCACGACGGCCCTCAAGGAACTACACTGGACTTTATTCAAACTGGAAACCACATATCCTCAGGCCGCATTTATTGTAGCTGGGGATTTTAACAAAGCAAATTTGAGGAAAACGCTACTGAAGTTCTATCAACACATTGACTGTAGTACTCACTCAATCACTGCTACTCCCCCTTTTGAAATGCCTACATGGCCCTCCTCCGCCCTCCCTCCCTTCGGCAAATCAGATCACGACTCCATTTTGCTCCTCCATTCCTATAGGCAGAAACTCAAAAACAGGAAGTATCCATGCTAAGGTCTATTCAACGCTGGTCTGACTAATCGGAATCCATGCTTCAAGATTGTTTTGATCACACGGACTGGGATATGTTCCGGGTAACCTCTGAGAATAACATTGACGTATACACGGACACAGTGACTGAGTTAATTAGGAAGTGTATAGGGGATGTTGTTCCCACTGTGACTATTAAAACCCACCCAAACCAGAAACCATAGATAGATGGCAGCATTCGCGCAATACTGAAAGTGCGAACCACCACATTTAACTATGGCAAGGTGACTG